CACGCCGCGCCGTCGGCTCCTCTCCCTCGCAGGCCCCGTGAAGTGTCGTCGCTCCCTGGTCCACGCCATCAGGCAGCTGCTGTAGCAAAGCAACGACGATAAAAAAACCGAGGCCAGAGGGGCAAAAGGAGGAAGAAAGACACAGAGGTACCTGGCAGCGAATCAATGCAACCCGCTTTCTCGGGCTCGATTCCTCTGTATAATGCTGTCAGCTATCCACGTTGTAGCTGTATGGGTCTAGAGGCCAATAGTAGGACTCGTGGTAGAGGTGATATCTTTTAGTAAAGCAACTTGATTTTTGCAACAGCAAAAAAAGTCATAATTGCAATTCAATATATATATATTTTTTTTTTGGCAAAAATCGAGTTGGTCTAATAAAAGACATCACCTCTACCACGAGTCCTGATTCCTGTAGAATACTGCACATAGCACCCCCTTACTTCTTTGGGTGGCTGCTGTGAGGCAGACTGGTTTTGTATCAACTGGTAACACAACAAAGGTGACCAACTGCTTTGAGAAGATTTCTCCTTGCCTCTTTGGCCGTGGCTGTTACAACTGCATTAAGGAAGCATGTTCTGTCCGTCCTATGTAGCAACAAAGGGCCAAATGTTTTTAGAAAAAGTCACGCGGTTATAACTTTTCTTTTTTCCCATTCACATAAGAATAGAGTGGCCATCACAGAGGACGGTCCGGTTGCCCTCTGTCCTCTATTGATACGAAACCTGGCGCCTTTATATTCTCTATTTTTCTCTTATTAGACCACATTTCCAGGCTTTTGCCAATCTTACTCAACCGTGTTCACCATCTTGCCATGCCTTGCTTAAGTCATCTGTGCCGTGGGCACGCCACCACGGGACTTGTTGTAGCATTTCTCTCCGAGAGAAAAAGAGAGGGCATAAAGGCGTGAGGTTTCGTATCGATGGAGGACAGAGGGCAACCGGACTGCCCTGCACGATGGCCACCCTGTTCTTACATCAAAGGCGTGGGGTTTGGTACAGGTAGAGGACAGAGCGGCAGAAAACAGGGATGTCCCTCTACGTAAGAAAGCCGTCCGGCGGGATGGCTGACCTGCAGACGCAGCACGGGCTGGAAAGCCAGGCAGGAAGTGAAGCTCTGAACAACAGGACCCGCCGGGTCTGGGTGGATTGCCCAGCCCGAGTAAAACAGGAGCGCGGCCTGGATCTGCAGGACGAGGAAGCGCAGTGGCGAGGGCGGGGCGGGGCATGCGGACACCTGACTAACAGCACGGCTACGCCG